GTGTAAGGCCTCTGGTTAGCTGATGGGTGACTTCTTGCTCAAAACTCAGCTCAAGGGCTGTAAAGATGGCTCCAGCTGGGCAGTGGTAGTTCAAGCCTTTAATAACAGCACTTGGGAGGCAGAAGCAAGCAGATCTCTGTGAGTTTGAGGTCAACCTGGCCTACAGAGTGAGTTCAGGATAGCCATGGCTGTTACACAGAGAAACCCTGCCTTGAAAAACAAAAACAACAATCAAGCAAACAATAATAACAACAGAGAAGTATTTGGCACCTGCAAATTTGTGGTCTTCTGTGGCCACTCACCACAGCCTCACTTTCTGCAAGGCTCTGTATGACTGTTTTGCCTGCATGTATGTCTGTGTACCATATGTGTGTCTCGTGCTCTCAGAAGAGGGTGTCACATCAGATCCTTTGGAACTGGAGTAACATGGTTGTGACTACCATGTGGGTGCTGGAAATCAACCCGAGTCCTTTAGAAGAGCAGCCAGTGCTCGTCAGTCCCCCTCATTAGCAGACTTTTAATGCATATAAAAGGGTCAGCACCTTGAGAGTTAAGACTGTGCTTCAAATATCTGTGTCCCTCCTCTGAAGCTGGCTCAGTCCTCTCCACGCGGATACTTCTAAGGGCTTGCTGATGGTAACAGACTGCTTTGAAGTGAGGGAGAGTCTGATGGCAGAACTGTATCAGGGTTGAGGATGTAGGAGCAGGGAGACTGAGGAAACAAGAAGGGGACAGACAGGTGCAGCCCATCTACTCAAGCATTTGTCCCTAAAATAGAAAGCCACTTCCTTCAGGTGTGGTGCTCACGTCTTTACTCCCAGCATTTGAGAGCTTAGAGGCAGGCAGATCTCTGTGAGTTCCAGTCTAGTAGGAGCCACACAGTGAGACCCTATCTCAAAAAAGGAGGGGAGAATAGGGACTAGAGAGATGGTTCAGTGGTTAAGAGCACTAGCTGCTCTTGAACAGGAGCCAGGTTCTATTCCCAGCACCCACATCTCAGCTCACAACCATCCATAACTCCAGTTTTGGGGGAATCTGATGCTCTCCTGGCCTCTGTGGGCCCCAGGCACACATATGGGGCAGGGACATACATGCAGGAAAATCATTCATACACATTTTTTTTTTGAGATAGGGTTTCTTTGTGTAACAGCTCTAGCTGCCCTGGGAACTTATTTTGTAGACCAGACTGGCCTCATGGAGATCTCCCTGTCTCTGCCTCCCAAGTGCTGGGATTAAAGGTGTGTGCCACCACCACCCAGCCACACACACACACACACACACACACACACACACACACACACACAAAAATTAATTAACATTTATTTTAAAAAGCCAGCCTTCTCCTGGTCTGATGGAAAAGTTGGGTGAGAAGATGGAAATTCTAGGTGTGACATCAGGACATTTGCACCATAAGTGTCCTTTTCTGGGACTGGTCCTCCACTGCTCAGCCCAATTCTTGACTTGCTCCAGGTGACAACTGCCCCTGGAGGGTTTTCAGAGACTGCCTGTCCTATATGTGGATGGAGGGGTACTTCCCTGTCCCAAGAAGAGTCTGCCAGGCCAAGAATTCTCTGAAGGGACTGGGATCTGGGACTGTCAGATCTTTGCCAAGAGTCCTTGTGACTCCAGCTACTTTTCCAGGGTTGGGTCCAAGGCCTACCTCTGCTGTCTGTCAAATGCCATACTCCTTAAGTTCCAAGCTCTGTGCTCTGAGGTTTGGATCTGAGCCACAGATGTGGGACCAGCCTTAAAGCACTTAGCCATAGGGTGAAATGGCCTGTAACAAAACAGCCATCCTCCAGTCTGCATCTACACTTTGTTCTCTATTCCCTACCTACAGAGACACTTGGCTATGGTCTCAGACTCTGCTTCTTGTCCCTTTGTCCCAAGTCACTGTCCACATACAGCTCTGGTTAAGATACTCCACTAAGAAAGCCCCGTCACTGCTGTCCTTTAACTGTAGGACAAAATTATAAAGGATCAGTCACACAGAGCCCATGTCCAACCTATCTACTATGTCTACTATGCCCATCTCATCCTCTCCCCTTCCCTCCCCTCCTCTCCTAGGCTCCTTTCGGAGCTCCCTGTTTGTGTCTTCTACTCTCTGGCACCTCTGAAGGGAAGGGTCTTCTTTCCCTATAACACATAAAACTCATATTCATTTCTCAAAGTCCAGCTTGGGTAATGCCAATCCTGACTTCCTGATGGGGTCAGTGGCTTCCTTGTCTAGCTAGTCTTGTACCACATGTTAGGAACTAGCAGCCAGTTGACGATGGGCTGGATGTTCATGGCCATGTCATCACTACATCAGCCTTACCTGGTGGCTCAAGCTTTACCTGGCTGCCAGAGGACTCAGTTACGCATGCGCAAGACCCCCTTTTAAAGCAAGCACCAAGCGCACCTCCCTCTCTGGTTTCTCTTTTGCTCTCTCTCTGCCCCTTCCTCCCCCCCTCTTTCTCTCTCTCTCCTGCTTTCGGTTGGCCACCAGCTACCCCCTCTTTCTCTCCCTTCTCTCAATAAACTCCACGTGGGCGCTGAGTCTCGTGTTTGTGTTTTATAGGCATTAGTTGCATCAAAAGAATAACACCACATGCTTCTGCAGACCTTCACAAGCTGTGTCATGGCTACCTTCTCCTTCTCATGGCCTTTGACCATGGACTGAGTCCTCTTTGTTTCAGTTTCAAGACCAGGCAGGGCAGGTGTCTCTAAACAGTAGTCAAAGGAATAAACCTTTACTTGAGGTCTGCCTTGTGGCTTAATTCTGCTTCCAAAGCCATAGTTTGCCTTTGCATCCTCTAAGATACCAAGAGCCTGTGGCTTTTAAGCAAGTGCCCTGTACTGGCTTACCCCCCTGGTTTGTGATGTGTTCCATGAATGTTTTGGAAATGTAGAAGGTAGGAGACCTTATCGGGAAGAGCAGGCTGTACATGTGTACAAAGATCAAGGAGACCTCTTCTCCACCCATCAGGGACCCCGGCTAGGTTGCTGAAGTCCTGCTCAGGCTGACTGCCTCTCTGAGGCTAAAATTTCTGGAAATGAGCAACACTGGGAGATGAAGCATGTGCAGGGAGAACTGGGCTCAAGAGGGTGGTAATGGCAGCTATTCAGCCAAGAGCTCTGCCTACGAGCATGGAGCCACTGCTTTCTACATTTCATATTTATTATTTTATGTGCATAAGTGTTTGCCCGCACACATGTGTGTACACCACGTGTGTGCCTGGTGCCCAAAGAGCCCACTAGAGGGTGTTAAATCCCTTGGAACTGGAATTGCAGCATTCCCAGCCACTATGAGTTCTGGGAATCTGCTATGTAAATGTTTTACTCTTTTGGCCTTTTTTTTAGGGGGGCACCACCCAGCTTCCAAATAAATCATACGCAGAGTCTTATTCTTAGTTATGTAAGCCTTGCCTTAGCTTAGCTTGTTTCTTGCTAGCTTTCCTTAACTTAAGTTATCCTACCTTTTGCTTCTGAGCTTTTTCCCTTTCTTACTTCTGTATAGCTAACTTTCACTCTTACTCCATGAGTGGCAGTGGCGGGCCCCCTGACATCCTTCCCTTGTTCTCTCCTTGTGCCTCTTCTATTTATTCTCGCTGCCTGACAGCTCCACCTGTCCTTGCTCCTGCCTCCCTATTGGCTATTTGGCTCTTTGTCTAAAACACCTGATGATCTAATAAAGAGTCACAGCTTCACAGAGTTAAACAAATGCAACACAAACAAAAGTAACACACCTTAAAATAATATTTCCCAACAAGGATCAAACCTGGAAGGTAGCCTGGTGTTGGTGGCACACGCCTTTAATCCTGGCAGTTGGGAGGCAGCAGCAGGTGGATCTCTAAGTTGAGTCCAGCCTGGTCTACAAAGCAAGTTCCAGGACAGCCGCCAAAGCAACACCGAGAATCCCTGTCTCAAAACAAACAAACAAACAAACAAACAAACAAAAAACCTGGCAGATCGAGAACAGCTTAACCCCCAAGCCATCTCTCCAGAGTTTCTTGCAGCCCCATTTGGCCTCCTCAGCTCTTGAGAGGTTCAGAGAGCCAGAAGAACAGTGCACAAACCTTTGCCCATCTCAATCTGTCAAGCAGGTACAACCATCGCTACCTCACCATCTACTGAAGCCAACAGGGTCAGTGGGACTTCAGAAGTAAACACTCCAGGAATCCATCATAAAAATGAACAGTTTTTATTGATCTTAGGAACAGGGTCAGAGGAGAGACGGGGTGAAAAGATGGTAGCTAGTGCCCAGGGCACCTGCCTGGAGACCTTTGAGGAAGAGAAGCAAGTGGTGGGCTGGAGGGTCAGCACCTACAAGGAGGAGGCTGTAGCCTCACTCTTCCATGGACCAATCACGTCACACCTCAAAGAGGCACAATCCCCACCCAGCTTGTTCTAAAGGCCTCACCGGGGGTTCTGTGAGAATGTGGTTGTAGGTTAGGGTTTGCAAACTGTAAAGTGCGGTGCACAAAATGTGCACGCTAGCTGCCTTTCTGCTGGACAGGCCTATCTGCATTCTAGGCCATGAAAACACTGTTAGAGGCTCAGAGGTTGGTCCCTTGAGCTTTCTCTTTGCCTCAGCTTCCATGGCCTACCCATGGGCCTTGGGGGTGGGTGGGTGGAAGCATTCTGGAGCTGGCCCCAGTTCCCACTCTGAGCTGAGGTAGAGACCATCAGGGTGCCCTCAGCCTGCAGGTGGCTTTGCTCCCTGGGGTCAGTGGGTGGTTGGATGAAGAGATACAGTCCTGGTGGCAGGGAAGGCCCTGGCCCTGCACCTTCTTTCCCCTGGTTATTGCCTTCCAATATGCTCTTTTGTGCATCTCAGTGAGGGCCATCCTTCTGTGTCCTTGTTTCACTCCTGGGTGAGGGGCAGAATGACTGTTGGTGGATTCCTCACTGCGATGTGGCCACCATTGCAGTTTCTGTCCCCTCCTGGCACCCACAGTGTAGCAGAGGTCCTTCCCCCGGGGAAAGTCCCAGCTCCAGAAGCAGGACTGAGGGGAGGGCTGTGGGGAACACTAAGGAGGGGAGCACTGATGGACCTCAGAGTAATGCCTTAAAGAGGAAGGAGAGAGAGGCTCCGCAGGACAGTCCCAGGGCCAGGAAGAAGGTCATGAGGGCTCCGGCCACCTCCCTCTCATGTGGCAGCACCTGCCTAGAACACATAGAAACAAACTTACATAGAGAACGCTAGGCCTGACCTTCGAGACAGCTTCTGGCCCCCTTGCTGTCCCTCTGCACTAGGGTACTAGTTTGGGTCTGACCTCACCCTGTGTCACTATAACCTGGTCTGGTCTTTCTCTGGGCTTCAGTTCCCTTCTCTGTAAAATGAAGTGGCTGAAAAAGACTATCTAGACCTTTAGGGTCCAACTTTATGGGGTTCTAGGCTCTATCACTTTATTTCTCAACAGAATGTCCCCCCCCCAACAGAATGGTTCTTCCTGCCATGCCCACTCTTTGAGAGTCCCAGCCCTACTGCCCCTGTAGCAAACAGCTGGCTACCTAGACAGGTAATGTCTCCAGTTCCTAGGCTGGGGTGAGTGCTACAATGAAGGCCTTTCCCACAGGGTGACACAGAGGTCTGAAGACAGCTGTCTAGGGTAGACGGTCTCCCTTTGCAGATACTGGTCCTGAGCTAGGCCCTCCCCATCACCAGCACCCAATCCTATGCTCCCCAGACCTGGGTGCCAGGCACATGGTGAGAGACACCAAGTAGCCGTTGGAAATGGCGAAGAGCAGCATGAATGTGATGAAGTAGGCATCCTGCCAGAAGATGGTGGGCAGCCGGGCTCGCTTGGGCACATGACAGAGCATGAAGAGTGGCACAAACAGGAAACGCAGGCACACCAGCAGGGGCAGCAGCCGGCTATCCTCATCTGGCTGTGACAGAGGTTCAGGTGAGTGTGGACCCTGCAGCTAGGGGGGAGGTATTGCCACACATGCCCAGATGCCCTAGGAGGCCAGAGGAGGCTATATCAGGCTATCTCTAATTTCTTTATAATTCAGGCCAGGGGGCAGTGGTGGCTCATGCCTTTAATCCCAGCACTGGGGAGGCAAAGGCAGGTGGATCTTTGTGAGTTCAAGGCCAGCCTGGTCTACAGAGAGAGTTCAGAAACCCTGTCCTGAAAAACCAAAAAGATGAAAGAAAAAGAGCTGTCCTGGAGCTTTCATGAAACACACAGGACATTCAGATTGTCTACAGTCACTGTGCACTGGAGTAGCGACATGCATTTCTCCAACTTAACCACAACTGGAACCCATTGGCCAATTCTCCCAGATGGGATTCCAACCCAGGACTCTAGGTTTGTTACATTCCCAGGGAGCTTTCACATCCAGGGAGCTTTCACATAAGGAAACAAGGCCTCACTAACAGTAATCACTTAACTAAGAATCATAGGGACATGGCACTCCGATAGATGTGGTGGCTTTTGCTTTGGAGGAACTCATCCCCAGCCTGGCCTGCCCATTCCAAGGGCCAGTCACTTACTGCCAGTTAGAGGGCTGTTCTAATGTCAGGTCCGGGACTGTATGTTCAAGTCACCTTTCTGTATGTCCCTGTGTACCCTTTGGTCCCCAATTACTTCCTAACTCTTTGGCTGGGTCAGCACAGACAAGCTCACCCACAGGAAGTAGGAAGTCAGACTCCGGCCCAGCCAATCCATGATGTTGAAGAGCAGGAAGCAGCAGATGGGGTTGAAGAACTGACCTAGGGAGGAGAGAGTGGATAGTCACCCTGATCCCCATCTGTCCTTTCCCCCTCACTCCCCCAACCCCTCTTTGACCCAACACTCACTCCACTTCCCAGGGCTGGTGGAGCTGGTCACCATGGCTGTGATGGCAGGAAAGACTGACAGGGTGACTGTGAAGACCAACACAAGGCACAGCGCCGTCAGCCAGATCTGGGAGCCGGAGGCAGGGGTGTGAGTGGACAGGGCATCCCTATGTCCATCATGCAGTCCCCAAATCTGCAGGCCCTCCCCACTGCATCCCTAAGCCTCCCCGACCCAGTGACATCAGGGAGTAAGCAGTAAAGCCCAGGGCTGGAGAAAATGTCCCTGGGTAGACCGCAGCCCTCCCCACTGCATCCCTAAGCCTCCCTGACCCAGTGACATCAGGGAGTAAGCAGTAAAGCCCAGGACTGGAGAAAATGTCCCTGGAAGATGGTTAGGAGTTACTGCTTAGCTGAACCTTCTAAAAGACAACAAACCTTCCGGAAGACAACAAAGACTGAAGGTTTTCCTGGCTTCTGTGGCTCATCCAGTTCCAACTCTGACTCTGGCTCTTTCTCAAGATCAAGATCCAGAGCTGGGCCTGCCTTCTGGGGGCTGATGGAAATCCCATTCTTCTCATCTAGGGGAGAGGGAAGGCTGGAGATGAGGCCTGTGGCTCAGATTTCCCAAAACAAAGTCCTGGTGGAGAAAAAAAGTGTCTCTTTCCAGCCAAAGTGCAGGAGAGGGGGATTAATAGTGTCAATAGCATGTTTATTAATTTGGGGATTGACCCATGGTTTTACAGGCTGTTAGACATGTCACTGAATTACACTCCAGCACTTAAATGTTTCTGTTTTGTTTGTTTTTGAGGATAGGCTCTTTTTCTAGCCCAGGCTGGCCTAGAACTCTGTTACCCACCTCTGACTTGCTATTCTGCCTATAAGCCAGGCAGTAAGTTAAGCATTTTGAATGGATTCTCTCATTGTCTATTTTCAATGAAGAAATGGAGGCTAAGCTGGGCATGATGGCAAACGCCTTTAGTCTCAGCACCCTGGAAGCAGAGGTAGGCAGATGTCTGAGTCTGAGGCCATCCTGGCCTACATAGAAAGACCCTGCTGCTAACAACAACAGGGGAAATGAAACTAATCTGCCCAAGGCTATGGAGCCCAGAGATTGTGGGTCCAGAGTGCTTTCTGCTGCTTCTCCATTTTGTTTAAGAGGAAACAGACTCACAGGGTAGCAGGGGATGGCTTCCCTTCACGGCCTGCTTCTGCTCACACAAAGCTCAAAGAGATGGGGCTGTAATGGGGATAGAAGTTCCCAGGAGTCTACCTGAACTTGCTCTCTCCCACCTCCCCTGCAAGGTTCTGGGATTTACCAGCTTGGAGGAGCTCAGCTTTGGTCTCTAGCTCCTGAGCTGGGGCCTGGGACAGCTTCTTGGCCAGGTAGTATCGGGCAAACTCCTGCAGAAGGATCAGGAAATCAGTCCTGCCCGAGGCCTGTCTGTAGCCCTCCTTCACACCCTTGGCTGGGAGGCTGAGGTCCCAAAGGGAGTGGTAGGTACTATTAGGAAATGTGGTTTTTCTGGAGTAGGTGTGGCCTTGTTGGAGGAAGTGTCACTCTGGATGTGGGCTTTGAGGTCTCCTATGCTCAAGCTATGCCTGTGGACCAGATGTAGAACTCTCAGCTCCTTTTCCAGCACCATGTCTGCCATGTCACTATGGACTAAACCTCTGAAAATGTAAGCCAACCCAATTACCCAATTACATGTTTTCCTTTATAAGAGTTGCCATGGTCATGGTGTCCTTCACAGCAATAGAAATCTAAGACTGTACCTCAACACCTCTTTTAGGGGGATCAGCATTAACTGAGGTCTCATCTCTCTCCCTTGGCCTCTCCCAGGGCTTTGTCCAACATTCCCCAAGGTAGGGGTGTCTAGCCCAGTGGCAGGCTTACCAGATGGGGCAGGCTAAGGTAACACATGATGGAGAGGAGGATGCCTACACAGGGAGTGATGAAGTACCCAAGGGCAGAGGTCTGTGCATCTACACCACCTGTAACAGAAACTTCAGCTGCAGAGGAGACGCAAGTCTCACGGTCCCACATGGTTTTCTGTAGTGTCACCTGCTCAAGCCCCCAAGTCCTCTTCCTTAGCCTCCACCCCCAAACCCTGGCATTTTTCTCCTGTGTCCCATCTCTTCTTTCCAAACTCTAGAGGTTACCCAGCCCTGCAGCCACCTAGGTGAACTCACTGGCCATGGACATGAGCATAGCAAGGGCTGCGAAGATCCCAGCCAGGCCCTGGCCACTGAGGAAGAGGGTGCTGTAGGTAGAAGGCATGGTACCCAGCTGCCCGAAGAGGCTGCCTTGAAGCACTGCACAGAAGGCTGTGGAGAGACAGGGAGGGGACCAATACTCAGGCAGTGTTGGAGGCATCTGAGAGGAGGTGTCTATAAGGTGAATGGAAAACTGGTCTAGGCTGGGCAGGTGCAGGTTTTCCAGGGGACTTAGGGTGGTCTGCTAGAACATCTTCATCTATTTCTCTCTTTCTCTTTTCTTTCTTTCTTTCTTTCTTTCTTTCTTTCTTTCTTTCTTTCTTTCTGAGACAGGGTCTCACTATGTAGTCTACACTGGCCAGGAAATCACCATTTAGACCAGGGTGATCTTGAACTCACAGAGATCTGTCTCCCAAGTTCTAAGATAAAGGCATGTGCCACCTCACCCAGCCTATTTCTCTTCTGAAATATAACCATTGGTCTGTGGAACTTCTGATTAACAGGCCTGCTCCTACAGATCCCTCTCTCTGGGATCAGTTTCTTTTGGGGGAGATTTGGGTGATAATGGTATTGTCTTCCTTCAAGGGTCTGCTGGGCTGTTCCAATACAAGGAAGAAGTAGGGGAGGGAAAGGCAGATGTACTCACAATTAATGAACCAGACAGATGCCATGGTGATGGAAAAAAACAGCCCAGGGTTCAAGTCCACCTTCACCAATACTGCTGTCAAGGCAAAGAGCAGTAGTATGGCCAGCAGGCTGCCCAGAATACGCACTGCCTCAGGGATGCTGCTCAGAAAGGGCAAAGGACATCAGATGGGCATAGGGGCAGGGCTGGAGTGACAACTGGGAACAGGGAAAAGACTGGAAGCAGGAGGTGTTCCTGGCCTCCATGACTGTCCCCACACAACAACTGGTTCTTACCACTGATACAGGAAAGAGTTGAGGAGCGTGAAGAGCAGTAGGGGCAGCTGGGACAGCAGTGTCACCCAGTTGTTGAAGTTGTAAATGTCTGTGGAACCCGTGTGGTTGGTGCTCAGAGTCTCAGCTGTGCCGTTTGCCCCTGCCAACCGTGCCTGGAAGTACTGCCAGATAGGAGATAGTGTAGAGTCAGGAGCTACCTTCCCTGCTGCGCTTAGACTGAAATCTTTGGGCCTGTCTTTGCACTGTCCCCAGCACCTGATTGGAGCACGATGGGTATGCACTGAATTAAATGGCTGAGTTCTGGGACTGAGCCCAAGGCCTTGCTACATGTTTGGGTCACACCTCCTCTTCAGTGTCCTGGCTCTAGCCTCCACTCCCACACATACAACAGCCTCTATGTTTATTCACCCCCTGTGTATTTATTAAACACCTACTGTATGCCAAGCCCCAGCTTAGGTGCTAAGCAACCATATCCTCTCCAGCACACATACCCTGCCGCTCTTCTGCTAAGCTTCCCATGTATTGTGAGGCAGACCTCATGTTTTAGGACTCTAGGATCTGATCCCAGATTCCCTTTTATGACTGCCTTCTGCGACATCTGGGTAAGCTCCAGGGTCTATATCTTTTAGGCTCTTCTTAGCCTGCACTCTGAATTCCCTCTCCCCCACAGCTTTTGCCTGCTCAGTTCCCGATTTACAAATCTCTTCTATGAACCTTTAGTACCCTGCTTCAGGCTAGAATGGAATGATACGTGTCATATTACAATATTAATAACTCTGGCCCTATGGTTCTCAAGTTCAGTAGCTGACTCATCTTTGGGTATCCAGGGCCCAGCATTGACACAGGCGTGTCACAGGTACCTGGAAAGTTGTCCCACTGAATATGTTTGAATAGCCCTGTCCCAAAGGAAGCACATGCTACACATTTTTGCTTTTCCATAAAAGAATATACGCTTTGGGGAATAGAACCTCCCTCTCTTATGGTTCCTCCACAGCTGCAATGTCTGGTTCACAGTTGTTGCATATTAAATATTAGTTGAATAAATGTAATTCATGTCATTGCAAAGAAAGCTAAAGGCTTGGAAAATCCACTTTTGGAATGATTGGCCATAAAGAACAACAAAGAACATGGGCTGGTAGCTTCTTTGCTGGTTAGATCCCTGAGTTGATGGCCCTGCCCTTCTGGGATCTGGACATTCCTAAAAGTTTGCCAAGCGGAGAGGCGGTTCCCTCTGTGAGGCTTGGTGATTCCGCTGACAGGTGAGACGTAGAAGGCGTGGTGGAAAGCGGCTCAGCAACCGCAGCCCAAGACGGATAGAGGATGGAGGTTGTGGCCATGCGGTTGCTCATCGCCCGCGGGTCTCACCGGGATAGCGGTAATGAAGAAGTTCCAGGGGAGGAGGGTGCCCAATCCCAGGATGAAGAAGCTGATCCCGACAAGGTGGTAGCTGTGGGGATCAGTCAGAAGGTCACCCCGAGGACGCACGCCTGGGCCGCCCAGACCGCCTCCGAGGCCGACCCTCAGTAGAACGGACTACAACCCCCATCCCCCCCCTCTCAATCAGCCAAGGGAATCGGCTGATGGGAATTGTAGTCCCGTTGGTCTTGGGCTCAGAAGTATCCAGACCAGCGGGAATTCACAGGCCTAAGGCCACTGGTGCCCCCGTATGCACCACATGGGGTTCCCACCTCACCTGTCCCGAGGGGAATCTTCTCGTGCCATGGCTGCCACTGCCAGTGCGCCAGGAGAGGCGGCTGCACCTGAGCCTGTGCCGGGCTGGGAGATCAAAGGACAGCGACGGGGGCCATCTCCTGAATTCCCAAGGTCGGGGCTCCGTAAGGAGTGTAAGGGTCCAAGGCAGACAACGGCAGGCACACACTTTGCGGAGTCGGACCTCGGCTCCGCCCCCGGGGCGGGAACAAAAGGCTGGTGCACCTCTCCTCTGCGCAGCTGTCTTTCCGGACTCCGCCTTGCAGACTGTGGTTCCTTTGGGTTTGGAATCCTGTTTCCTGCTGCTTGCACGTGTGCTTCTGGGTCTTACCGCCGCCCTGCCCATCAGCTCCTATCCTCTCTGTGGGAATCTGTCCGGGATCTCTGGGAAGGGAACCGGCTAGGGTTCTTCCTCTTGGCAGACTGCGAGGTGGAGCCTCGCTTGCACCGGTTAAGGTTTGGAGTGCTCTGAGCTTGCCGCTACCCAGTCCGCAGCTTAGAGAGTAAGCCTGACCAGCCGGGAGGGAAAAGCTGGTGCCACCTACTGTCGCAGAGGGTCCCGGGGAGATGCTCCGAGGGAGTTACCTCGGAGGTCGAGGAGTTGGCCAGGTGTCTTTACAGACGGATATGAAAGACAGACAGACCCTTTTCTAGCGGTACCAGGGTCCAGCAAGGAGGGGTTGAACGAAGGCTCCGGAGGGAATGTGGTTCTGCCACCAATACTGTGCAGTCACTTTCCACTATTACCCCCACCCAGTGAAAACTTTGATGAGATTGCAAATCAAGTCTTATTTATGGTTGGGTATGGTTTCTCTGGGATGAGTAAGGGACAGTTATTGCTTTTTTAAGTTAAGAATGAATATATATATATATATATATATATATGTATATATATTTATTTATTTATTTATTTATTTATTTATCTGGGCGACTCTGAAGATAAGGGTGTTACTGCCAAACCTGATAACCTGAGTTTAAGCCCTAGGACCGGTGTGGTGGAAATAATGAAGTGACTCCTGCAAATTGTCCTCTGACCTCCACACAAGTACAGTGGCACACTTGTGTCCCCTCCCCATGAATAAATGTAGTGTGTGTGTGTATAGTTATTAGCTGGGTGGTGGTGGTGCACACCTTTAATTCCAATACTTACGAGGCAGAGGCAGGCAGATCTCTGATTTCGAGGCTAGCCTAGTCTACAGAGCAAGTTCCAGAATAGCCAAGGCTACATAGAGAATCCCTGTCTCAAAAAACAACCAACCACTGGGTGGTGGTGGCACATGCCTTTAATCCCAGCACTTGGGAGGCAGAGGCAGGAGGATCTAAGTGAGATTGAGGCCAGCCTGGTCTACAGAACAGGATCCAAAGCTACACAGAGAAACCCTGTCTTCAAAAACAAACAATACCCCAAAATTAACCATATGTATGTATGTATGTATGTATATGTTTCTGCTCTCTCTGTTTTGTTCCTAGAATCCAGCTACCCTGCTTGGTTCATCAAAGGTGGTTAATAAAAGGATTAGATCATAGTGGTCTGCAGATTACTCTGTGGTGCGGGGAACTGAACCCAGAACCTGTGCATGTCAGGCACTCTTACCCCTGAATGGTATCCATAGCCCTAGCCAGAGACTTCAGGTGGAAGGGAGACAGCATCCAATTGCAGGGAAAAAATTGTTCCTCATTGGCTTTTTTCCCCCAGCCTTTGGATTTGCCAACAGACAACCTGAATTAATTTCCAATGGGTATCCAAGGACCTGTAATCCCCTCTGCATCCAGAACTGGCCTCAGGGTGTCTCCTGGCAGTTTTATATATGTATTTTTTACTCATTTTAATAATTATTATTGATACTGGCTTCTTGATAGTAACAGATAAACGATGGGGTGGGGACATAGCTCTGGCACAGTGTTGAAGACAAACATGAAGAAAGGAGGTCTAAGGAGCAGTGCGTTTTGCTTGTTAGGGCTGGGATGGAAAACGATGAGGCATTTCAAGGAAAGAACAGCCTGTACCAGGACTGGGACATGATACTGCTGACACACTGTGGGACACACAAATAGACACACCCTTTGGCTGGAAGGAGGAGGCAGAGCCTCCCTGGAGATGGATTTCAGTTCAGGTTCTCAGCTTAGACTCTAGGGTCCTTGTAATTAACAATCAATATTTTGTTTCTTTTCTGTGGCAAAATTGTGTGTGTAAAGAAAGCAAGACAGGAAGCATTTTGATGGCACCATGATATCTTAAGGGTGTTACAGAAGGCAAGAAAGGAAAACATTTAGTAATAAAATAATAAATGTGACTAGATCAGTTCGAGTCACATGCTCAGCCCCTCTATAAAACCTCAGTTGCAAATGCACAACAGAGGCACCAAAACCGACTCTTAAAAGCCACTAGTGTGTCCTGGTGTTACACTATTTTGAAATGGTGACTGAAGCTTGGAGAAACTCCAAATGACAGTGCAGCTGTTGCTCTGCAGACAGTTAGTCCTGAGTTACTGGAAAATGCTGTGTTGTTTAAACCTTGCAAATAATACATTGTGTCTACATGTAGAGTGGATTTACAGCCCAGGCTCAGAAAACTATCACCAGGGTTTTTAAAACTAAATAGTTGGTTTTATTTGTTGGGGAATACTGTTTTAAGGTGTGTGACTTTTGTTTATGCTGCATTTGTTTAATTCAGTGAAGCTGTGTTACTTTGCCTGTCTGAAACACTTGGTGGTCCTAGTAAAGAGCTGAACAGCCAATAGCAAGGGTAGCCAGGCTGACAGGCAGAGAGTATTAAAAAAAAAAAAAAAAAAAGAGGAAACCAGGAAGAGGGAAGCAGAAAGAAAAGGGAACAAGGAGAGGACGACATCAGGGGCCAGCCACCCAGCCATCCAGCTACACAGCAATCCACCGAGTGTGAGTAAGAGTTACAGAAGTAAGAGAACAGAAAAAGCCCCAAAAGGTAGGTGGGATAATTTAAGAAAAACTGGCTGGAAACAAGCCAAGTTAGGGCTGAACATTCATAACTAAGAATAAGCTTCTGTATTTGATTTATTTTGGGTGCTGGATGGAGGGCCCCTCAAAAAGACAAAACATAAAAAATATACTTATTTTTAGTGCAATTTTAGATTTATAGAATTCCTGAGTAAATAAGACAGAGTTCTATATATTAGTTGCAACTGCAACTTCCCTTATTTAAATCCTGCATTAATGTGGTACATCCATGACAATGAATAGGTCACATGACACATTTTAACTCTAGTAACTAATTTACCTTACAGTTCATTCATTGTACATTCTGCTTGCTTTTTTTTTTTTTTAATGCAGGATCTCACTGGGTATTGGGCTCATGCCTTTAATCCCAGCACTCAGGAGGCAGAGGCAGGCAAATCTCTAGAGTTTGAAACCAGCCTGGTCTATAGAGTGAGTTCTAGGAAAATCAGGGCTACACAGAAAGAAAAAAGAGCATTGCTGCTCTTTCAGAGGATCAAGGTTCATTTATTTTCCAACACCCAGAGCAGACAGTGCACAATCTTGCATACATTCCAGTTCCAGTGGAATCAATGCCTTCTTCTTGCCTCCTTCTGTTTTGCAAGTAAAACACTCATACACATAAAATAAAAATAAATACCTGAAAATAATAATAAGCCTGATGCCTGTGTAATTATTCCCTTCTTTTTCTCAGAACTAATCTTTTTCTAACAGCTTATTTTCTGAATTAAAAAGCTTTGCTTTTTTTCATATGCATGTATTTGTGTTGTGTATTTGTGCATGTATGTGTATGGGTGTACAAATAAATATGTGTGGGGATGCATGCATACATATGCCTGTGTATGTGGAGGTTCAAGGTTAAAGTCAGGAATCTTTCTCAATAACTCTACTTATTCTTTGAATTAGGGCCTCTCAGTAAAACCAGAACTCTCCAATTTAGCTAGTCTCACTAGCCAGCTGGCTCCAGGGACCCCTTCTCTGCCTTTGAGGGCTCGATTTGCATATGAGCTGCCACTCCCACATCTATGTAGTTTCTTGTTTGCACAGCAAATGATTTAACCACTGGGTTAACTTCCCAGACCAAGCTTTCCTTTTCTATAGAATAACTTGGGGTTCACAACATAATGGAAACCTACAAAGAATTCATTTCCACACCTTTCTTGCCTCAAGTGTGACTAATCTTCCTGTGCACAGTGGTGCCTTGTCTCATACTGACTGCCCTGTCAGTCAGTAGTACCCTAAGTCTGCATCTAATATTGGGGTCCCCTTCTGATGTTGTTCATCTGTGATTTTATGATGTGCTGGCTCTCTCTCTTTCTCTCTCTCTCTCTCTCTCTCTCTCTCTCTCTCACACACACACACACACACTTACATACACTTATCACACACACGCCTAATCCTCCTAGTGTCTAAAGGTGTATTTTGAAAGTTATGTGCTGGCAGGTGGGCAGCTCCACAGCTGTGGGCAGACCCTTGGGAGTTTGTTATTTTGTTGCTTTTGTTTTTCTTTTAGGGGCTTAAAAATAGCATCCACTGGGCACTTCCTTAGTGCCAGTCAGGATTCTGAGCTCTTTACTGTTAATTCCACCAATCAAGAATAAGACTACTACCACAGTTTAAAGCCAAATTTGAAGCAAGCTTTAATTAAATACTGGCCAAGTCCATACTAAGGTTCCTAGAAAATGGCCCCGAGTCATGGTTTGTAGCAGCTTAAGAAGGAAAACCCATAATTCTTGCATTTCCCACCACTCAGGGGCAAGCATACCTCCTGATGTACCTTTAGTGTACATCCCATTAGGGGCAAGCATGTATCTTAACATGTTTCATGTCTGTGAACTTCCCACCCCCATGTGATCAAGCACATAGGTGCAGATGAGTCAAATAAACTTGTTTAGGGGAGTGAAAAACATGTGGCTTGTTATCTCCATAAACAACAGTCTTGATTCAGGAACTATCTGTCCTTGGGCAAGAGGCTTGCAGATCAGAGGCTTTTTTTTTGTTTTGTTTTGTTTCATGGATCTCTTAGGCATAGTAATTAAAACTTAAAGTTTAAGTTTTGGCTCTCACATTTCCCCACTGAGTTGTATCTTGAGTCAAATCCTGTGATGGGTACCTGT